GGTGTGTGTGTATATGTGTATATATATACATATATATATATATATATATATGTGTGTGTATATATATATATATATATATATATATATATATATATATATATATATATATATATATATATATATATATATATATATATATATATATATATATATATATATATATATATATATATATATATATATATATATATAAATATAAATATATATATATATATATATATATATATATATATATAATACAGCCAAAAAAATGTCTGTCAGGCTAAATTCTATAATATATTTAAATAAGTACAGCTCAGAAAAAATATGCTCTAGTCAATTCTGATATAAATTCATACCGCCAAAAATATATATGTTCATATTTCATTTTATTTTCACATGTTATTAGACTCTTCACTATTAATACTACACTCTAATACAATGCTGGGTTATTTTAACCTAAGTGGGGTAAAATATGGACAGAGCCAGATGTTGGGTTTTATTTGATGCTTTAAATTGAATAAAAAAAAAAAATAAACCCAGTGGTTGGTTTTGTCAAAAAAAAAGTCACCCAAAATTGGCTTTAAGTAAGCCAGCATTTTATGTGTGTAAATATCATAAATACAATTCATACGATATAGTATTATAATCAGATTTACAGCTGAAGCCAGAATTATTAGCCCCCCCCTGAATTATTCGTCCCCGTTTATTTTTTCCCCCAATTTCTGTTTAACGGAGAGCAGATTTCTTCAACACATTTCTAATCATAATAGTTTGAATAACTCATCTCTAATAACTGATTTATTTTATCTTTGCCATGATGACAGTAAATAATATTAGACTAGATATTCTTCAAGACACTTCTATACAGCTTAAAGTGACATTCAAAGAGGTTAATTAGGTTAACTAGGCAGGTTAGGGTAAATAGGCAAGTTATTGTATAACAATGGTTTGTTCTGTAGACTATCGAAAAAATATATAGCTTAAAGGGGCTAATAATTTAGTCCTTAAAATGGTGTTTATAAAATTAAAAACTGCTTTTATTCTAGCTGAAATAAAACAAATCAGACTTTCTCCAGAAGAAAAAATATTATCAGACATACTGTAAACATTTCCTTGCTCTGGTAAACATCATTTGGGAAATATTTAAAAGTGAATAAAAAATCAAAGGGGGCTAATAATTCTCACTTCAACTGTATATATTTTTCTATTACATTTTGGTCTAAATACATGTAATCATAGTGTGTGTATTTCATGTTAATATTTAAATAATGAGAGGGGATACACAAATAAAGAATCAAAACATTTGTTTGGGGTCATTTATAAAATAACAATAAATAAAAACATAAAAAATAAAGACATCTAAAAATAAAGATATATATATATATATATATTGATAGCTTTTGTTAATGTAGTAACAAAAAAAAAACCTGCGTAAACCAACCTAGAGCTGCAAATGTGTCTCTCAGGTCATTCTTGTCAATGAATCCGTCTCTGTTCTGGTCCATGATGGTGAATGCCTGAAGAAAAAAAAAAACATTTTTGTGTTTAAATTGTTTCATAGTGGATATGTTATTCATTCTTTTTCCTTCATCTTAGTCCCTTTATTCATCAGGGGTCACCACAGCAGAATGAACCGCCAACTCAGCCAGCATACAGTATGTTTTACGCAGCAGATCCCCTCCAGCTACAAACGGTGTGTGGTGGCTCAGTTGTTAGAACTGTCACCTCACAGCAAGAAGGTCGCTGGTTCAAGCCTTGGCTGCATCAGTTAATGTTTCTGTGTGGAGTTTGCATGTTCTCCTCAAGTTGGTGTGGGTTTTCTCCGGGTGCTCCGATTTCCCCCACAGTCCAAACACATGCGCTATAGAGAAATTGATTAACTAAACTGACTCTAGTGTGAGTGTGTATGGGTGTTTCCCAATACTAGGTTGCAACTGTAAGGGCAGCCGCTGTTAAAACATATGCTGCAATAGTTGGTGGTTCATTCCGCTGTGGATGAATAAGGGATTAAGCCGCAGGAAAATTTATGAAAATAACCAAAACTGACAGTAATACTGTAAATTTTACCGCAATTAGATGGGCTCGAAAATCATGTTAGTATTACCGGAACTGCATCAGAACATATTACAACATTATACATTAATATCAGTGAATGAAGAGGCTTTATATTGATTAAAAGTACACTGTGGGATACCGCAAGGCTCAGTTCTTGGTCCCTTGCTTAATTTTACATGATATTCAGTGGGGAAAACAAGTATTAAGGTGACGCACAGTAGGTAGTGCTGTCGCCTCACAGCAAGAAGGTTGCTGGGTTGCTGGTTTGAATTGGGTAGGCTAAACTGTACATAGTGTATGAGAGTGTGTGTAGATGTTTCCCAAAGATGAATTGCGGCTGGAAGGGCATCTGCTGCGTAAAAACGTGCTGGATAAGTTGGCGGTGCATTCCGCTGTGGCAACTCCGGATTAATAAAGGGACTAAACCGACAAGAAAGAAAATGAATGAATGAATGAAAACTTGAACTTGAATGATTTGAAATGTTGACCAGATGTTGATAACAACCAAAAAAAGCCACATATGCAAAGAAAACAAATGTAATGAGTTAACAAATGAAGTTATGTGTAATAAAATGAAATGACACAGGGGAAAAGTGTTGAACACATGAAGAAAGGAAGGTCTTTTCCAGCAGTGAAAGTCCAGACAGCAGCTGAGATCTCTCAGTAGTTCTTTAGCAACCCGCTTTCTTTCTCAGTGTAAATGAATATCAACATTGTTACATGCCTGGGGGTGTTGCTCTGTTGTTCCCTTCTCCCCTTTCTGTTTCTATTTGCTGTCTCCTATACTTCTAAAATCTAGGTGTTCCGATTGGTTGGCAGAGTTCTCCTGAGTGGACCAATCAGAAGAGGATGGGTGTTATTTAAACGCTCCAGTGATGACTCAGCCCAGATGAGAGGGGGATCCATGTTGCTTGTTGCTGCTGTGTTTTTGTAACTTTTGGTGCCTATCTTGTGCTCGGGTTCGCTTTAAAGGAGTTTTTGTGATTTAAAAGTACCTAGAGGGAAGTGAAGGGAAGTATGTCACGTGACTTACATTTTACACACACGTAGTAGATTTTTTTGTTATTCCACTAGGTTAGAGGCGGGTGCTACCATATGTATGTTTGTCCCAGTCAGTGCAGTTGAATAAGGGGCGTGTGACGCTGAAGATGATTTACATATTTCTCTTTAGTTATTTAGAGGTGGGGGAGGGATTAGTTAGCGGGTGTTTAATTTGTTATTTTCTTTGATTTGGCACCGCTTATTCTCCTTCCCTCCATCAGGTATTTTTGTTTACTTTTTGCATTTATTGTACATATTTGTAAATATACTTTGGGTGATTTTAAATATTCATTTCTTTATCTTTATTGTAATAAAGCGAACAACTTCTTTGCCACGTCGTTGTCTGTGTTGATTCATAGCAGTTAACATCTTAGAGGAATTCTTAAAATATTGGGTTGTCATAATTGTGTTAAGCCCTTTTTCGTCCTCCGAGCCACACGGGGCGTAACAAACATCTACATCAGCAGGAGGATGAAGATGAAGCCAGGGTGGACATTTCAGCAAGACAATGATCCAAAACACAGCCAAGGAGACTCTCAGATGCTTTCAGAGAAAGAAAATCAAGCTGCAGAATGGCCCAGCCAATCACCCGATCTGAATCCAATAGAGAATACAGATAAAGCTTAGATTTGATAGACGAGACCCACAGAACCATCAGGATTTTGACACTCTGTTGAAGTTGGTGAGAAACTCACACCTGAGCAGTGCATGAGTCTTCATTCTCCATATGAGAGGCGTCTTTAAGCTGCCATCATCATTAAAGCCTTTAATATAACGTATTCAACACATTACAGCAGTTCAGTACCTTCTCCTATTGTCATTTCATTCTTATTACACACAGCTCATGTTTCAGATGTGTTTTTTGTTTGTGTTGTTTGGGTGTTTTCCAAAATCTGCTTCAATCCCAAGTCAACAGCTCCTTCAGAAATATTATTCCCAGGAAAAAAACATGACGTGTTCAATACTTATCTGCTAGGCTCCTCCATTGTGGAGACACTTGCAGATGCACAATGCCGCAAATGTGTCTGTTATCCCGGCAGAATTCAGCCAATCCGCTATGTTAAGGAGGGTCTCTATAAATACATATATCGGCCCTCAATAGGGATCAGACAGGAATATCAGATTCCACAGGGAGCTTTAGAGAAAGACGCACACAATAGCAGCTGCGCTCTTCTGCGCTAAATCCCACAATGAAAACACTGCCCTGATTAATGCATCCTCAGTGCTGAAACCCTAAAGTGCTTCTCAGATCATATTCGCATCCTCACAGTGAGAAGGTCGCTGGTTTGAGTCCCGGCTGGGTCAGATGGCATTTTTGTGTGGAGTCTCCCTGTGTTGGCGTGGGTTTCCTCCGAGTGCTCCGGTTTCCCCCACAGTCCAAACACATGCGCTATAGAGGAATTGATCGACTAAATTGGCCGTAGTGTATGATTGTGTGTGTGTGTTTGGGTGTTGTCAAGTACTGGGTTGCAGCTGGAAGGGCATCTGCAATGTAATACATATGCCAGAATAGTTGGCGGGTCATTCCGCTGTGTCTAAAGGGACTAAGCCGAAGGAAAATTAAAAATTGAATGAACTATTGACTTAAAGGGCTCTATTTTGACGGTCCATGCGCAGAGTGCAAAACGCAGGGAGCAAAATGCTTTCAGGGCGTGTCAGGACATGTTTTTGATAATGTAAGGACGGAAATCTGCTTTGCGCCGTGGCGCATGGTCTAAAAGGGTTGAGTTTATTTTCTTAATGAGTTATAGGTGTGTTTTGAGAATAAACCAATCAGAGTCTCATCTCCCATTCCCTTTAAGAGCAGCTGCGTCGCGTCAAGAGCGCATTCACTATTTACAGGACGCAAAGTAAGTCTAAGTGGAAAAACTGAGCATTTCACAAGCAAACAGTTCACAGTGTTTTAACAGAAAACTGTTAAACAGAGCATCTACTGCGTGAGAATGAGAGATAATGGATCACTTTCACTTTCGCTCTTGGATAGGGAAACCTTTACGCACAGACATCAATTAGTCTATAAATAATTAATTTCGTTTGTTAAGCGCAAATATTCGTTTCAAAACTATTTCTAAATTCAGTTCTAATTTCCAGCAAACGAAAAAATGAAAAACAATAACAAAATGTGCTCAAAAACCTGAGTTATATCCTAAAACACATGCTGTGCCCCATATGGTCTAAAACCTGACAGGTGGGCAAATCTAAGCTTGTTTTTAATAAAACAAATATAAATATGGATATAATAAATAATACTGCTAATAATAATAACATTATACAAAAGCAAATTGTTATGAATGAACTGAAAAAGCCTCCCGAGATGAAGAAGACATAAAAGCAGTGATTTTTCCAACACAATCTCAAGGCAATTCGTAACTTTTTCATTTAGTGGCTAATTCGTATGAATTCGTACGATATAATTCGATCTAACACTAAACTGGCAAAACGTAAAATACTTACGTTTTCTCGTGAGATCATGCTGGATTTTTCATATTTATGTAGGCTAGAAAATAATATGTTTTGTAATATTTTAATCCTTTATATTTATATCCTATATCTATTCTTATTATATCCTATATATATCCTTAATATTTAAATGTTTTCATATGTAAAGATATTTGCCTATTGCTCTCTTGTGTGTATTAAGCAGTGTGTAAGTGAGGTGCAACTCTGCGCTGGAGTTTAGACCGGGTTAGTTTTGGTCTATTGAAAAATCTATTATAGTTTCTCAAAATAGCGACGCGCCAGCGGTCCGCCTCAGAACGCCTCTCTTTTTAGAGCAGAACACCTATGGGTGCACAAATGAGCGCTAATGCATTTGCTATTTAAACAGCGTAGCGCAACGCCTCAAAACCACTCTTGCGCCAAGCTGAAACTACCAAAAGACTATTGCGCTGTGCCTTGTGCCACACTGCGCCGGGTGTAAGATAGGGCCCAAAGTGTGCAGTGATGATGGGTGAAAGTGTTCAGACCTCCTTGAACTCCTGGATCTGAGCCTGTTCAAACATGGAGAAGACATTGGAGTTGGCTCCTTCAGCCGCACGCTTCTTCGCTTTTTTAGGAGCCTGCAGAAGTAAAACACAATTGGTTTTTTACTTTCTGTTACAAAAACCGCTTGAAAGTTTGATTCATTATCAGCCGAGTTCAAACATTGAATAAATCAATGAGTCAATGATTCAGTTCAAACTATGATTCACTGATTCAAAAACCGCTGGGTTGTTGTAACACAATGCAGGAGTTGTGATCGTGACAAACTCGACTGCTGGGTTAAAAAGTGTCATTTAAATTTGATTGATAAAACTGTGCTTCAGTGTCCATATTCAAATCAATGCTGGGTTAAAACAACTCAGGATTAATCACATAAAAGCCAGAGATATATACATGATTTGAATATATATTTATATTTGAATTTTCTATCTTCTTTAAAAAAAAAAAAAAAATGCGTAATTTTTTTTTGAATCCGTTAATTATTTTAAATTAATTAAAAAAGATGATAGAAAATTCAAATATATATATATATATATATATATATATATATATATATGATATTGTAGGGTCCAGCCAGTTGGTCCAATGACGGTATCCACTGGTGGATGAAGGTTCACTGCATGTTCGGTCTTTCCAGTGCACAATGTTGATTTATTTTAAACTTAACTCATATCTGACTCCAATTTTAGTATGAGGTGGTTTAGAATATTAATATATTTATCCTCGTTTTATCTGACTCCAATTATAAAACATTGATAAGATTATTTTGTTTCCTCTCACATTATTTTAGATTATGATTGAATATTCTTTTGATTTGTTATTATACCTTATTCTCATTTACTCAGATTCCGATAGCATCTCGAGTCTTGCACCGGCCGGGTATACAATCTCTTAATACAAGCTTGTCAGTCTTGGTCATTAAACAGAGGCGATTAACCACTCTCCTAAAAAGGCAGAACCCTACTTACTCAATTTAGGAGATTTTTATGTGGTCCCCATAGATCTGTTATCTACTAATTCAAGACAAAGTATTTTAATAATAATCGCGCAGGATTATACTATTGTAGATGAAGGCCTAAATATCCACATTTAAAGTAGTTTCAACAATATTTTGTTGTTCTAAATAGTTGGCCTTTTACAGTCCAAGTATACATGAATAAAGGCCAATTTGTTAGTCGGATCTCTACCAACATTGTATAGTGTGCCACGCTGCTCCGTCTAACATGTTTTAGTCCGTTACTAACCTGTACAGTGGCTTGTAGTGCTATGGACAACAACATTTATCAGTGATAATAACACGAGGTTTGAATAATTCAAAACATAATTTATTAGTCAGGTAAATGTATTATGCCAAATTCAATCAGTCATTTCATAAACGATCAATACAAAACATCAAATTATCAAAGATAAATCCAAGATGAAAAAGATGCATTCCTGACTTTGAAATATACATAACATGAACCAGCCATGTTATGGGCTGATCTGGTTAGGCAGAATCGCCCTGAATCTTTCGCGGACCTTACCTTAAATAATCCAAGAATTCCCTCAAGGAAGGGGGTGTGAATAACAAAAAGGCATTCACACTTAGTGTAAAAGTCACACCCCTCACAGTGGTTCAAAAGATGCCTGAAGTTATATATTTATTGTTCTGATTATGTCTATTTTTGAGAGAATGAGACCATTGTACCAATCACACCGAGACATTTCAAATGATATCAAACATAATAGCTAAAGTCAGTTTGGTTAATCTAGAACGTTCAAACATTGAAATGACCATATGCGTGAGTTGGGGGGATGAAGCTGAGTTTCAGCAGACTCAGATGCAAATGCAGCAGGAACTGGTTTTTCCCGCATTCCCCCTTGCTGGGTTGTGAAGTCACCAGTCTCTGTTTTCAGCTCATGTTTTGAATTGTCAAAGACATCAAAAATATTTGTAATATTTCAATTCTTACAATATATTTATGTGTGTGTGTATATATATATATATATGAATTTTCTATCTTCTTTTTTAAATATTTCCAAAGTGATGTTGAACAGATTCAGGAAATGTTCACAGTATGTCTGATAATGTTTTTTCTTCTGGAGAAAGTCTTTTTTGTTTTAGTATTATAATATTATCATATTATTATTGTATATTATTTATATACACATTAGTCCTGTCAATTGATAATTTTTTTTTTTTAATTACCTAATTAATCACACTTTCTTTCTTTTAATTAATCGCGATTAATCGCATTTAAAAGACCGAAACTTGTAATTTTGGCTATTCAAATGTAAAACTAATGTAAACGCAAATTAAAACTATTTAAATTCAAAATATAACTGTTTATTAGAATTTGTGTTTAACTTGTAACACAGATATCTTCATGTAAACAACAAACCCACAATAAACCATCAAGATCCTGCTTGACAGCCATATTTATAACAGAAATTAAAACACAGGCATGTTAATGACATTTGAATTTTAAAACAATCAATGCCAATAAAGAAAACACTGATTTCCATGTTGGATTCTAAGTGGACTGCAAAAAAAAGCCAAAATACAGGCATTGCAGATATGGAAAATTATAATAATTATAATACTTATACGAATAAGTATTGAATACAAACAATTGTACTCGCCCACAACAGAAAAAAACAAAAAAAAACAAAACTGTGTTAATTGCGTTCATTTTTTTTTGAATGCGTTATTTATTTCAAATTAATCGCATGCATTAACGCAGTAATTTTGACAGCACTAATATATATATACATATACATATATATATATATATATATATATATATATATATATATATATATATATATATATATATATATATACATATACATAAATTTTTTTTATTGGGTCATTTTTCTGCAAATCTACAGATTTTATATTTAAGTGAAATATTTAGAAAAAATTATTTATACTATTTGATAAACTATTATATTTTTACTAACAACAAATAAATGCCGTCAAATTAGATACTAAAATTGCGCATAATATCAAAACAAAACAAAAACTTATCTGGTATACAAACATTATTGTCTTTATTTTATTGAACAACCAAAGAAGATATTTAGAAAAAGCTGGACTTCCACTGTATTTGTTTGTCTGGAGGTCAATGGTTACCGGTTTTCAGCTTTAAAATGTTTTATTTGCTTTTAATTGCTACATTTGTTCTTAATAAAGGGATAGTTCACCCAAAAATGTACTCTCCCTCGAGTGTTTCCAAACCTTTATCTGGTTCTTTCATCTGTTGAGCACAAAAGAAGATAATATGAAGAATGCTGAAAACCTGTAACCATTGATTTCCATAGTAGGACAAACAAATGTGGAAGTCAATGGTTACAGGTTTTCAACAATCTTCAAAATATCTTCTTTTTGTTCAGAGTAAAGATACTTAAACAGAGTTTGTGGGTGAACTGTCCCTTTAAATCTTATTCACCTTATTCTTCGCCGACGAGCGGGCGCTGCCATTTGAATCTTTTTGGCTCGAGACTTCCGGTCTCATTCACTTCCATTCATTTTTAGACATTAAAAACTGCTCGTTTCGCTGTTTGATGTTGCAAACTGATATTTCCTTATTATATTATTCTACTTGGTCTGTGTAGTCATGCAAACATTTGTTTGTAGAGCAAGTAGTTTGACCGTTTTCTGCCGTTTATTATTCCTAGTCATTTCTCCCATAGGCGACTGAATCGGAAGTTCAAAGACAATCGCGAAAACAGCCACACTTCCACATTTTAGAATAAGGTCAATTGGAAAACTTTAAAACGATGCGATTATTATTTTGATTTGTCATTAGTTTCTCTTTTTTCATTCATTTTCATTTCCTGTCACTATTTACTCTCATTAAAGCTTTTCCAAACCTCTATGAGTTTCTTTTTTTCTGTTGAAATCAAAAGAAGATATTTTGAAGAATCCTGAAAACCGGTAACCATTGACTTCCATTGTATATATTGTGTCCTATCATGGAAGTCAATGGTTACTGGTTTTCAGCCTATTTCAAAATATGTGTTTAAAAGAGATTAAAAAAAAAACTCATAAAGGTTTGGCACACAAATGAATATATTTTGAAGAATGCTGAAAACCAGTAACCATTGACTTCCATAGTGTTTAATTAGTCTTTCTATGGGGGTCAGTGGTTACAGGTCTTCAGCATTCTTCAAAGCATCTTCTTTGTGTTTTGAACCTTGACAGAATAAATTTAACTCATAATGGTTTGAAACACAAAAGAAGATATTTTGAAGAATGCTGAAAACCTGTAACCATTCACTTCCATAGTAGAAAAAACAGACAAAAGTTATAAATACAAATTTTCTAAATATCTTCCTTTATGATCAACAGAAGAAAGAAACTCTTAAAAGTTTTAAACAAGTAATATCGAATGTTCATATTTGGGTGTACTGTCCCTTTAAGTGTGATTAATGTTTTCCAGCCCAAAGCATCTTCATCATAGTGCACTGAAAAAAGTGTTCATTACTTAGAATTTGTGACTCGTTTCTGGTGCAAATATCCCAAATTTCTGAAATCAAGAAACATTTTCTAGACAAGCAAAAAATACTGTCTTGTTTTCAGTAATGAGTCCAAATTAAGTGAGCTTTTCCAAGCACAATACTCTGCAAATGAGGTAAGTGAAATACTCTAATGTCAAATAGAAAAACAAGATTATTTCACTTCCCCCATTGGCAGACAATTTAGCTTGTTTTATGCAAAAACTCAATTCATTTTGACTCTTTATTTAAATATTTAGTGTTTGTGTAGAAAATCCTCTTTGATTTCAGAAGATTGAGATATTTGGATGAAAAACAAGACAAAAATCTACAGTATATCCAAAAAGTATTGATAGCGCTTGACTTTTTCCACATTTGTTTATGTTAAAGCCTTATTCCAAAATAGATTAAATTCACTTATTTCCTCAACATTCTGCACACAATCCCCCATAATGACAATGTGAACAAAGAGTTTTTGAAATTGATGCAAATTTATAAAAATAAAAAAGCTGTAAAATCAGATGTACATCAGTATTCACAGCGTTTGCTCGACACTCTGTTGATGCACCTTTGGCAGAGATTACAGCCTCAAGTCTTTTTGAATATGATGCCACAAGCTCTGCACACCTGTCTTTGGGAATGTTTGCCCAATCCTCTTTGCAGGAACTCTCAAGCTCTATCAGGTTGGATGGAAAGTGACGATGTGCAGCCATTTTCAGATCTCTCCAGAGATGTTCAATAGGATTTAGGTCTGGGCTCTGGCTTCGTCACTCCATTGATATTTTGGCGGTGTGCTTTGGGTCATTGTCCTGCTGGAAGATGAAGCGTCGCCCCAGTCTGAGGTGGAGAGCACTCTTGTGCAGGTCTTCATTCAGGATGTCTCTGTGCATTGCTGCATTCATCTTTCCCTCTATCCTGACTAGTCTTCCAGTTCCTGCTGCTGAAACACATCCCTACAGCATGATGCCAACACCACCATGCTTCACTGTAGGGATGCTGTTAGCCTGCTGATGAGCGCTGCCTGCTTGTCTCCAAACGTAACGCCTGGCGTTCACTACAAAGAGTTCAGTTTGAGTCTCATCAGAGCAGAGAGTTTAGTTTCTGATGGTCTGAGAGTCCTCCTTGTGGCAAACTCCAGGCGGGGAGTGTCTTCCGTCTGGCCGCTCTACCATACAGGCCTGATTGGTGGATTGCTGCACAGATGGTTGTCCTTCTGTAAGGTTCTCCTCTGTTTGCAGAAGAACGCTGGAGCTCAGACAGAGTGACCATCGGGTTATTGATCACCTCCCTGACTAAAGCCCTTCTCCCCCGATCACTCAGCTTAGATGGCCGGCCAGTTCTAGAAGAGTCCTGGTGGCTAAACATCTTCCACTTACAGATGATGGAGGCCGCTGTGCTCATTGAACTTTCAGAGCAGCAGAAATGTTTCTGTAACCTTCCCCAGCCCTGTGCCTCCAGACAATCCTGTCTCTGAGGTCTACAGACAATTCCTTTGTCTTCATGCTTGGTTTGTGCTTTGACATACACTGTCAACCCTGAGCCCTTATATAGACAGGTTTAGCCTTTTCAGATCATGTCCAATCAGCTGAATTGAGCACAGGTGAACTCCAGTGAAGCTGCTGAAACATCTCCAGAATGATCAGTGGAAACAGAATGTACACGAGCTCAATTTAGAGCTTCACGCCAAAGGCTGTGAATACTGATGTACATGTGATTTTTCAGCTTTTTATTTTTAATAAATCTGCAACAATTTCTAAAACTCTGTTTTCACATTGTCATTATGGGGGATTGTGTGTAGAATGTTGAGGAAATCAATCAATTTATTCATTTTGGAATAAGGCTGTGCCATAAAAAATGTGTAAAGAGTGAAGCGCTATCTAGAACTTTCCTGATGTGCTGTATGAGTAAGAAAAGCCTTTTTCAATGCACGTTGATGGAGATGCTTTGAGAATCACTGCAAAAACAATACTGTGGAAGTCAATGGTTACCGGTTTTGAGCATTCTTCAAAATATCTTCCTTTGTGTTCCAGACCTTTATGAGTTTCTTTTTTATTCTGCCCAACAGATATTTTAAAGAATATTTTAAAGAATGATGATCATCTATAACCACTGGCTTTCATGGTAGGACATAATAAATACTATGGAAGCCAATGGTTACCGGTTTTCAGCATTCTTCAAAATATCTTCTTTTGTGTGCCAAACCTTTATGAATTTCTTTTTTATTCTGTCAAACACATATTTTGAAGAATGCTGAAAACCTGTAACCATTGACTTCCATGATAGGACACAATAAATACTATGGAAGTCAATGGTTACTGGTTTTCAGCATTCTTCAAAATATCTTCTTTTGTGTGCCAAACCTTTACGTTTTTTTTTTTTTATTCTGTCAAACACATATTTTGAAGAATGATCAAAACCTGTAACCTTTGACTTCCATGGGAGAACAAAAAATAATAATACTATGGAAGTCAATGGTTACCGGTTTTCAGCATTCTTCAAAATATCTTCTTTTGTGTGCCAAACCTTTACGTTTTTTTTTTATTCTGTCAAACACATATTTTGAAGAACGATCAAAACCTGTAACCTTTGACTTCCATGGGAGAACAAAAAATATAATACTATGGAAGTCAATGGTTACTTGTTTTCAGCATTCTTCAAAATATCTTCCTTTGTGTTCCAGACCTTTATGAGTTTCTTTTTTATTCTGCCCAACAGATATTTTAAAGAATGATGACCACCTGTAACCACTGGCTTTCATGATATGACATAATAAATACAATGAAAGCCAATGGTTACTGGTTTTCAGCATTCTTCAAAATATCTTCTTTTGTGTTCAACAAAATAAAAGAAAGTCATAAAGGTTTGGAAAAGCTTTAATGAGAGTAAATAGTGACAGGAAATAAAAATAAATGAAAAGAGAAAACTAATGACGAATATACAAAGTAATTGACTCATTATTTCTGAAAACAAGACAATATAATTAGTTTGTCCAGAAAATGCTCTTGAGTTTTAGATATTTGCACTAGAAACCAGATTAAAAACTCCAAGTAGGTAAGAAAAGTAGTTTTTGCAGTATGAATCCGGAGTAAAAGTGCGGTAACTCACCATGCCGGATGCAGGAGAACAGGACAATGAGGAGATCCCGAATGCTTCTGGACAATGGGATGGACGGCCTTTTGTAGATTATCTGCACTGATGTCTACTGGCCGATATAAATAACACATGGCCTGTTATGGAAGTGACAGGTAGATGATGATCCTACATACACACACACACTCACACAACTACACACTCATTGTGATGGGGTTTAAAATGGCAGGCTTATGAATGAGAAGTGCTCAGCTGTTTGGAGACGCCCGTATATTCATCTCTCCTCACCGTCCTGGTTATTTCAGGGTTTATCACTTCTTACTGGGGGTTTTCGTCTTGTTTCTAGTCCAAATATCACAGAAGTCTGAAATCAAGAAACATTTTCTAGACAAGCAAAACATTTTCAGTCACAATTAAGTGAGTTTTTCCTTGAAAGACCTTTTATGCCCTATTTTACAAGCTGTAAAATGCGTCTCTGCAGTCTCTAGAGTGTGTGTGTTTCAGTTTGAGCTCTAAATATCACACACATGATGTCTCTAACTCTCTGAAGCTGACCCTTTCAGGCTTTGATCCTAATTGTGGTGTTTGGGTGACTGTGGCTTTAAATTCAAATGAGATTGTGGTCTTTTCAGAAGAGGGCGGAGCTACAAATGCCTAAAATAAATGTGTCTAAAATAAATACTAAAGTCAATGGTTACTGGCTTTCAGCATTCTTCAAAATATCTTCTTTTCTGTTTCAAACCTTTATAAGATACTTCCTTCTGTTAAACAGAAAAGAAGATATTTTGAACAATGCTGAAAACCTGTATCCATTGGCTTCCATAGTAAGACAAAATAAATAATATGGAAGTTAGTGGTTACAGGTTTGTATCATTCTTCAGAATATCTTCTTTTGTGTTCCAGACCTTTATAAGATACTTCCTTTTGTTAAACAGAAAAGAAGATATTTTGAAGAATGCTGAAAACCTGTAACCATTGACTTCCATAGTAATACAACATACATAATATGGAAATCAATGGTTACTGGCTTTCAGCATTCTTCAAAATATCTTCCTTTCTGTTTCAAACCTTTATAAGATACTTCCTTCTGTTAAACAGAAAAGAAGATATTTTGTAGAATGCTGAAAACCTGTAACCATTGACTTCCATAGTAATACAACATACATAATATGGAAGTCAATGGTTACTGGCTTTCAGCATTCTTCAGAATATCTTCTTTTCTGTTTCAAACCTTTATAAGATACTTCCTTCTGTTAAACAGAAAAGAAGATATTTTGAACAATGCTGAAAACCTGTATCCATTGGCTTCCATAGTAAGACAAAATAAATAATATGGAAGTTAGTGGTTACAGGTTTGTATCATTCTTCAGAATATCTTCTTTTGTGTTCCAGACCTTTATAAGATACTTCCTTTTGTTAAACAGAAAAGAAGATATTTTGAAGAATGCTGAAAACCTGTAACCATTGACTTCCATAGTAAGACAACATAAATACTATGGAAATCAATGGTTACTGGCTTTCAGCATTCTTCAAAATATCTTCCTTTCTGTTTCAAACCTTTATAAGATACTTCCTTCTGTTAAACAGAAAAGAAGATATTTTGTAGAATGCTGAAAACCTGTAACCATTGAGGTGTTATACATGATAGGACAATTAGGGGTCGCCACAGCAGAATGAACCATCAACTTATTAAGCATATGTTTTACGCAGTGGATGGCCTTCCAGCTGCAACCCTAATCACAATTAAGTAACATAAAAAATAAAACATCCTCGTCCACCATGCAGACTAATTATCCTCATCAAACAACCATCTTTTGATGGCTTTTTTGAACCTCCTTAACTCTTTTATTTCCTTGATCGATCTTGGTAATTTTGTAATTTTTCCTTCATACTCTGTGAGCACCAAAATGAGGCAGCATAATCAAAATGGGGTTGAATTAAAGCTTCTGCCAATCATTTTAAAGAATGAGCAGCCAACAGATCAGCTTGCCATGCTAAGAACCTATTTTTTCCACATTCCACTTTAGCAACCACTCAGAACAACCTAGCAACCACCAACAAATCAGATCACTTTAGCAATCACTTAGGAACCAATTAGAACAATGGTGATTTTGCCATAGCAAACCCCACTCCCATTTTCTTCAGCAAATGTATCATTATTATTATTATTAATATTAATTAATAGCTAAATTCTTCATTATTATTAATCTGTTATTATTCAAAACTGTTTGATTAAAGATTTTGCTTTCGAAAGATTTACTTTAATTCTTGTCTCACTAATCTAAACCCTATTAAAGAGTAACCCGATCTCCCCTCATCTGAGGATGGTTATTGATCATTGATCAGCTATTGATCTGTGCATGGCTTATTCTTGGCTTCTTCTTTGTTCAAAGGGAGAAAATCTGAATTAATGATTTTCCTGCTGAAAGCAAACAGCAAGATTCTGATTAAATGTTCAAATATGTGCATATTTACACTCTAAAACTTGTTGGATTGTTTTGATCCAGTGTTGGGTCATGATATGAACAAACCCAACAGTTGGTTAACATTTTTTTTGTCTAAATTTAATTGAAACTAATTAACCCAACAGTTGCGTTTGTCCGTATTTGAGACGGCATTGGCTTGAAACAACCATGCTTTTAGAGTGTATTTATTTGTATCTACATTAGTGTGTGTAGCTTTTTCATATTATGAGCCACACGAGTTAGAATTATATGCAAATCAATGCTGTTGTGCATGTTTGGTTATAATAAACAGAGAAAGGACATTTTCACAGTATTTACTATATATATTTTCTTCTGGTGAAAGTGTTATTTTTTTACTTTGGGTGCAATTTTTTTAAATATTTTATATAACTTTTAGGTCAATATTTTTAGTCCCCTTAAGAAGACTTGCCTAATTAACCTCACTTGCCTAGTTTTCTTAATTAATCTAGTTAAACCTTTCAGCTGACCTAAGCTGAATAATATTATCTTGAAAAATAACAGCCTCGGCTCAGTTGGAGTTTCTGTGTGGAGTTTGCATGTTCTCCCTGTGCTCGCCTGGGTGTCCTCCGGGTGCTCCCCCATGCAGTACAGGGAATTGGGTAAGCTAAATTGTCCGTAGTTTATGAGTGTGTGTGTGTGGATGTTTCCCAGAGATGGGTTGCGGCTGGAAGAGCATTCGCTGCATAAAAACGTACTGGATAAGTTGGCGGTTCATTCCGCTGTGGCGACCCCGGATTAATAAAGAGACCTAGCCGACAAGAAAATGAATGAATGAAAAAATAACTAGTATAATATTAAATAGGGCGGTGCGGCGGCGCAGTGTGTAACTGTCACCTCACAGCAAGAAGGTCGCTGGTGCACTTTTTCAATTGTTGACCCAATGTTGGGTTGAATCAACCCCAATGTTTTTTTACGAGTTGTATCAGTTCTACATCTGCAGATTCAGCTTTTTCATAATCTGAACAACACAAACTATATTCATAATCAATGCTTTTGTGCATGTTTGATGATAATAATGTCATATCTCACATGTATATTTAATAAGAGACAGTTGCTTGTAATAAACAAGTCTCCAAGTCAAAGCATAAAACATGTAAGCATAAATAAACCAGTAAATACACACAATTTACTCTTATGATAAGGAATATTCAGGGTTCAAAAGTACAAAGTCAAATTTAAGCACTTTACAATTGTGGCTAATTACATACTTTCATACATCAGATGCCATGTGTTCAGATATACTATACTATACTATACTATACTATAAAAATACTATACTATACCATACTACACCATAGAACACTATACTATAGAATACTATGCTGTACTATACTATACTACACTATAAAATATACTATACTATACTATAAACTATACTATACTATACTACACTATAGAACACTATGCTATAGAATACTATGCTGTACTATACTATACTATACTACACTATAAAATATACTATACTATAAACTATACTATACTATACTATAGAACACTATACTATAGAACACTATACTATAGAATACTATGCTGTACTATACTATACTATACTACACTATAAAATATACTATACTATACTATACTATACTATACTATAAAATATACTATACTATACTATACCATACTACACCATAGAACACTATACTATAGAATACTATGCTGTACTATACTATACTATACTATACTACACTATAAAATATACTATACTATACTATAAACTATACTATACTACACTATAGAACACTATACTATAGAACACTATACTATAGAATACTATGCTGTACTATACTATACTATACTACACTATAAACTATACTATACTATACTATACCATACTATACTATACTACACCATAGAACAATGTACTATAGAATACTATACTATAGAATACTATGCTGTACTATACTATACTATACTACACTATAAACTATACTATACTATAAACTATACTATACTATACTATACTATACTACACCGTAGAACAATGTACTATAGAATACTATACTATAGAATACTACGCTGTACTATAGAGTACTATACTATACTATAGAGTACTATACTATACTATAGAGTACTGTACTATACTATACTACACTATAGAATACTATACTATACAAAATACTATACTATACAAT